ACGTGCTGTCTCCAGGGGTGGCTCTGACAAGGGTGCAGTGGGACCTATCCCCATCACAACTGTAAAAACCTCACTAGAACCTTTCTTTGTCCCTCAGTCTGAAGGCTGACATGCAGTCGGAGGATAACACAATGGAGGTGAGGTAACAAGGAGGTAACATCAGGCGCAGCAAATACCGAGTTAAAACACGTAGCAGTTTGCCACCACAGGTAGCAAGCAATTTACACAGCGGGGTCTTCTTAAGGGGGCGAGGGGCGGTCAGCAGTGTGAAACAGTTCACAGAACTCCCATACTTCCAGGCACCAGCACTTTAGCCCTCATTGGGGATTTTGCTGGCTATCCCAAAAGTCACAGAGAATGGGAATGGGGCAACTCAGGGTGAGCATGAGAAGGTGCATGTAGGAGAAAGCTATAAACGTCCTTCACAAATGAATGACTTTTTTTTTTTGTATTGTTGTTTTCTGCTACAAAACTAAACACTCTTGTCTTCTTAGCACAATGTTGGTAATGAATAACCCATATTGTTCTTACCTGGTGTAATATTCTTTTCACGATCCCAGTTTATTACATGCAGACACTCACACTACTCCCTGCTTCAAAATATTCTGCTGAAATCTCACAGCTGAAATACATTAAGGAAGCCACTGGGTATATACTGCATATATACAGTTAACCCCAACCGAGATTCCCATAACTACAGTGCCTGTGAGAGTGCCCTTGGCCCGTGGTCTCCTCTGAACTCTGCCTGGGCGTGATCCCAGAGCGTTAGTTAGCACGGGCTACCATCACGCCCATGAGAGCAGTACAAATTAAACAGCATAGACAATGGTATGTTCCTACTCAAGCCCTCACTCCGGTCCTGCTTTGTTTACTGGAAAGATGTGGCTCTGCAAGGCTGCACAGGCACACCCTGAGCTGAGGAAAAAGAGAATAGTAGCTACCCATTAACCTCCTAATCCAGCTGCAGCACAAAAGTGAGAGCTTTACCACACTCTTCAACGGCATGCTATTCTGCTCTTCTAGAACAAAAGCCTTTCTTTTCTCAAACACGTACCTGGAAAGGAGGAAGAACACGAGGAAAAACCAACCTCTGGGCCTGTGGATATGATCCAGGCAGAGAGGACAGACAGCTGTCAGCAAACCCCAGCCACCAGATTTACATTAGTGAATGAGAAAAGTTGAAGCAGCAGGGAACAAGTAAAGTTTCTTAATATCCCTGGAAAGAAACATCCCAGAAAGAAACAGAGCCTGCAAACAAAGGACTGCCACACAGGAAATACAAATTATCCACCTGATTTATTGCAGAAGAGGGATTTAAATGTGATGAAAAGACCCCAGACTTCCAGATGTATCAAGTCTGTAGTGTCAAGAAGGGAGGAGAGCTTACAAAGGACAGGGGCTTACAACTCCACTCCAGTCCTTCTTTCACTCCATACTGGTGTGAGGCAGAGTTTGCAGACAGAGAAAGAGGAAAGTGACCTGGACTTCATGGCTGGGTACTGGAATTTCAAACACTGTAGCAAGCTGAGGATTCCCTGCCCCACTCTTCTCCCACACCAGCTATACATGCCAGCTCGTTAGCACCTACCACACCAGCCCTGGGAAGGGAGAGCTGAGATGTCAGAGAGGCCATGGGCTGGCACGCACAGGAAATAAGTAACTCCATAAATCATGTCTCTTCCCGAGGCTCAGAAGGCACTGCAGGGCAGGGCTGCTTTCTTGATGCCCCAGCCCAAGGTGCTAAATACAGAGATCTGAGAAAGGCTGTCTTTTGAAATGGATGGTGACTGTGACTTGTGCCAATCTTCCATAGCCTTGCCGATATCTTCAGATCCAGATTTTCTTTTTTAGTTTGTGGATGTTTTATAGTAAAATGGTCAGAGATCACTCTTGGTGTTCTCCTGGTCACAGACATACCTGGAGAATTGCCTCTGAACAATTTTTTGAGGTGCTGGTGACTAGCTGTCAGCTCAAGGAAGCTGCTAGATGACTAGTTTCATCACTGGTGATGAGCATTGTTTGGAAACAAAAGATATGGAAAGTAATCTTGAATTCAAGGAAACCAATTATTTTATTGTTCATCTGAGAAAATGTTTCTCTCTGCATCAAGTCTCTCAGAAGGGGACTAAAATGCATGTCACAAAACTCAACAGCCCAGCCACAGTGCCAATTTTTTATTTGCTTGTTATTTCTCATTCAAACAATCCATTGTTATTATTATTTGTGTTGTCATAGTGTCTTGGAACCTGAGTCCAGGATCAAGACTTTAATGAGGAAGAGTTTTGCTGTGGAAACTGAGCAAAAACACTGTCTGAAAATACTTGAGATCAAAGTACATATGAAGTGTGGGCCGCCTTCTTCCAGTAAATGTAATTGCCCTGTCTGCAGCTGCTACTTGTTCATTGACCTTTTTTTTTTTTTTTTTTGGCAAATGCAGGGGATTAAACAGCTTTGTCTAAACTAACACAAATATCACTTAAGCTAAGTAAAACTCTCCCACCATCACTTCACTTTCAGTTTGACATACACTTTGTCTAAATGGAAGTTTAAAACAATCAAGAAATACTTTTTCATAAGCCCAATAGCTAGGTGTGCTGTAGAAAAGCTTGCTGGAGGGATAGAGGGGATACCAAAAGTATATATGTGTTAAAAAAGTGTCTGTAGACACCCTCATGAAAAAGATCTTTTACCTACAAAGGCACAGCTACCGCTTCAAACTTGTATTGACTAAGCTTCAGCAAGGTGAGAGGGTGCGTGAGGACAAGGATCTCTCTGTATTTGCCCAGGTCTTACACTTTTCCTAAGTACCCCCTGGCAGCTCTCCTCAGAGAGAAAATAATGGACTTAGAAGAACTTTCTGCCTGACTCAGTGTGACTGTTCCTATGTAAATAACACAGCAAAAAATTTACTCCAAAAAACAAGCTTTAAATTGCTACCTGCTATAATCAAAACAGAAAAGCCCCTTCTTGCTATCCTCAAAGCTGTTGCTATGAGGCACACCAGCTGACCAAGATGCCACTACACTGAGCAGGGGGCAGCTTTGCTGATGAAGTACAATCATCTGAGGACAAACCACAGTTTGAAACCGAATGAGCACACAAAGAGCGAAGTAGCAATGAGCAAACCCAAAGCAAACACCACAGGAAGCAAGAGATCCTAAGGAGGTATTTGTAGAAGGAGCTGGAGAGACTATTTGCTGACACTGTGACATCCAATGCCCTTGCATGCTGCTTTGCAAATTACTAGAGAATTTCTGCCACCATCAATGTCACTCGTGCAGTTTTCCCTAGGAGAAAATCTTTTTAAAAGGTTTACAGGCACTGCAGAAAAAATCATATACTACATTGTCAGCTCTAGAGATGCACTTTCCCATTTCCGTTAGAGTGAGTGGATTGGCGTCAATCTGAAGCCAGAGGCAGACCGTAGAGTGAGCACAGGTTAATCATAAACAGTCAACTCTTATTCATCAGCAGCAGTGGACAGAGCAGGACTGTTTTGCTTAACCTCTTGCTATTTCTGAGGTCACTTGTGGCATAATTAAAACTTCATTCATTAATTCAAACAATAGCACGAGATACATGTGGCTGGTAGCTGAGGGAGGAGAAGACTTTATTCACTGGTGCCAAAGCCTGCTAAAGAGAAACCTATGTTCAACTCACATAAAACTGGAACTTAAAAAGCATACAGAAGACAAATCCTAAGCAGCCACCTCAGAAGCTGGCAGGCACCAAATGATCCAGGGAGACTGCTTGTAATTAGACTAATAAAACCATAATGTGGTTGTGTGATGCAGGTAGTTGCTATCTATATGTGTTCCCCTTTGCCTTTTTGAATAACCAAAGACATAAATGAACTTCAAGCACTTTCAGCTTTTGTAAGCTTTTGTAGAATAAAAGTTTACAACAGAATGTAGGGACTGGTTTCACTGAAACACGTTTTGGTTTGCTTCAAAAATGAAGACTTGTATAAACAGAGGTCCCAGCACACAGCAAACATCATGAGCTGAAGGGAAGGGTATATATGATTTACTATCTAGCACCCAGGATTACTTAGCACCAAGGCAAAATATGCATCAGGGAAGTGAAACGCACATAGTGTGTAAAGAGGAGCTGAAAGCACTGCTTGCAAGTAGGTGATCTGTGTGGTACTTGGAGGATGGGCTCGAAGCAACCACTGAGATGTGTCGAAGTCCAGTGCTGAGTGCTAAGAGGGAGAGAGAAGGTGCTGAATAGGTGTGCAACTGTTGGTAGGTGCTGAAGAGCCTGGGGCTCGGCCCAGAGGCAGCAGGTCAGTCATCTCCCTGGCATGTCCAAGCACATCACTAAGGTACCACTCACCTCAAAATCTCCCCGTCCAAATATACGACCCTGCCAGCTGCTCTTTTGCCTTTGCAGAAGAGCTGAGCACGTTCCGTGCAGCCTGGCACCTCTTTCTCACAGTCTCCTCATAACATTCTGGAGGATGCCAACAGCCTCATCCACGAGCACGCACTTCTGAGGACCCAAAATCCCACAGAAGCCGGGATGCTTGAAACACACCTTCCCCTTCTTCCCCCCGACAAGGAGGGGGGAAGACTGAAAAGATGACGACTCGGCAGCAGCCTTTACACCCAATTTAGGATACACAACGGCACCCCGGAGGACACACACACACATCCCTCCCGTGGCACATGGCACCGGAGCGGAGGGGGACCCGCTCGGCATGGCGGGGGCGAGCATCGCCGCGCCGCATCCCGGCGCCCTCCCCCGGCGGCGGCGGCGGCTCCCTCATCGCCTCTTCTTCTTCTTCGCTCCTTTGGCGGGGGGAGCGGCGGCCGCGGAGGGAAGCGCTTCTCTCTCCGCGCTGCGGAGCCGGCGCCTGCCGCGGTGCGGATGCGTGTCCTCCTGGAAACAGCTCCCGACGTTTGCCCCCCCCCCCCCC